GGCTGCAGTGAGCTACAATCTTGGGCAACAAGAGTGAGACCCTGTCTCTTAAAAAAATAAACAAATAAAGTGAATACATAGAAACATCTAAGAAAATACATCTAAATAAATGTATTAAACAATTTATCATTTCCCCACTAATAGACACTAACTTTATTATATATTAAACTGTAAATGTATTTTCTTGTGGGAATACTTTCAAGCATGGAATGCTCCCAAGGGAAAAAACTATTTAAAAAGTTTATATTTAACTATAAAAAAATTAAAAGTTCATGTGTCAAAAAATACTACAGGCAAATTAAAAAGGCAAATGATGTGTGGAGAAAATGTCTGTAATGTATATGATGGAGTTAGTATTCTTAATGCATAAACAATATCAGAAACGAACAAGACAATCCAATAGAAAAATGACAAAGGACTTGAACATGCAACTCACAGCCAAAAACCTATCTCAAAATGTTCATTCTCACTAGAATTACAGAAATCCAAATGAGAAAAAAAACAAAATATCTCACTTTTTGCTCATCATGTTGGCAATGATTCTTTTTAATGTCCATTTCCAGTTTTAGCAAGGGTTGGTACTTTTTTGGTAGGAGGTAGTATGGTAGATTTAAGGAAATGGGTGAAAGTAAGTAAGGTAAATATGAGTAGTACCAAAGGACAATCAGCATTCGCTGGACCTCATGGAGAGCTTTCCCGATGTTGGAGACAATTTTTAGTGACTCCTGTCTGTATGGGTATGTAATTTTCTTTAGCAGTGCTTACCAGTCATAGTATGCACAGGAAAAATTGAAAAATTGAATTAATTCAAGGTGGTTTTGCAAAGCAAATGTGGTAAAATGGGAAGGGTGAAAGAGATTTAAAACTAATGGAAAGATAGTGATGGAATATAGGCCAGCAGAAAATGAACGGAACCAGTCATTCGTGTTATCAGTATTTACTGAGCACCTCATGAGCTGGCATATAAGAAAATTAATTACATTTGTATATTGATCTTTTCACCAACTGTTTCACTAGAATTCATTTTCTGGTTGTACAATTTCAGTTGATTCTCCTAAGTCTTCAAAATAGACTGTCATAACATGCATAAAGAATCTAATGTCTCCTCCTTGAAAATATTTAAATTTCATTTCTTTATCTGGTCTTTCTACTGTGGTTATTATTTAAAAGTATTGGCAAGCATTCTTGCTCTTCACTTAAACAGAAGAACCACCAGTGCATCAATATTAATTATGATGTTGGCTGTTAGTTTTATTTCTCTTTTTATGATTAAGGAAGTATTCTTCAATGACTTATTTACTAAGATTTTCCCCCAAAAAATGTGATCAAATATGAGAATACAAAATTTATTTTATATACTCATTTAATATATTTCCTAACACTGAAACATTCTTGTATTCATGAAATAAACCATCTTGGTTTTCATATACAAATGCTGAATTCTGAAGTTTTAAAACTTAAAAAGTGACTAATCTGTGTTTTTCACTGCTTACTACCTTTAAAAGGTTTATGTCAGTGTCGTACCATCTAGAACAAACTGAGATTTCCATATTTTTCCATGTTCTGGAGAATTATCTGTTCCTCCTAAGTATGAATGAAGTTCTCTATATGATCTGAACTAAGCCTGGCAACATGTTCTTTAATAAGTTTTCTTCCTTCTTTAGGTATATTCAAACTTTCCACTTCTTTTTGACTCACATTTTACCAATTTTTATCACCTTAAAAAGCATTCCTCTTACTCAGATTTTCAGATTATTACTACAAAACTGTACATGGTACTCTCTAAGAAGTTTTAATTCTCATCTGTGGATTGTCTCCAACTTCTAAAACTTTTTTTTCCCTTGATTAGACTTGTTAGAAGTTTGTCAATTTTATCTTTTCAACAAATAATCAGTTCTGCTTTTATTTCCTTATTTGTCACAAAATTTAATTCCATCCTTTCTATTTATCTTTATTTTATTGTTCTGGTTTAAATTTCTTAATACAAATGCCTAAAGCATCTATTTTCGGTCTTGAGGTCCGTATGTTTTCCAATTGGTGACGCTTTGGGCAACATGCTTACCCATGTGTTTTTCTATATACTGCAATCTGGCTCCTATTGTCCAGTAAGGTCACCTATCATCTATATGTTACCAAAGATGACAAGCCTGCTACTAGAACTCTTTAAAAGCATCTGTCATTATTAACTATGCCTTCCCTTTAGAAACTCTCTTCTCTTGGCTTTTTCTGATAAAACCTTATCCTAATTTTTGTCCTGCCTCTCTGGCCATCCTCTCTCAGTATCATACTGTTGACTTTTTTCCTTCTCTTAGATGTCAGCGTTTCCCAAGACTGTGTTCTGGTAGCTCTACTCTTGTTAAAAAATATTCTAGTGACTTCCTTCAAACGTATGAATTCAACCATCTCCTACATGTAAAACTCTCTAAATCCAAATGTATCACTCCCTTTTAGATTAGACCAATTCCAGAGGGATCTCTTATAAGGATCTCAAACTCAATTTATCTAACTTAGACAATACCATCTTTATCTCCCAAATTGTACCCTCTTTCTGTATTCTCCATATTTGTGATTAGCTTAGGGATTATTCTAGGTGATCACTTACCCATATTCAGTCAGTCATCAAATTTTGAAGATTTTATCTTTCTCTTTCAAGAATCTGTCTCCTCTTTACTATTCCCAGAGTATCTCCCTTAGATCATGTATGAATAACAACAACTTCAATACTCCTTTAATTTTCCTATCTCCAACCTGGCCTTCCCACATATGATATATATATATTATATGTGGGAAGCACATTTTTCATTTATTAAAAAATATCACTTGTAAAGTGGTGTGTTTATATACACATATGTATATATGTATGTGTATATATGTTATCTATAAGATATGTTATATATAATATATATGTAACATGTGTGTATATATGTGTATGTTATAGATAACATATATAAACACATATGTATATATAACATATGTGTATGTTTTTATATATGCATGTATGTGTACATATACATACACATATATACATATAAACATATACACACATATATACATGTGTGTATATAACACATATATACACATACATATACACATATATATACATGTGTATATATAACATATATACACACGTGTATATAGGTATGTGTGTATATGGTTTTTATATATACATGTGTATATGTGTGCATGTATATACACACATATATACATATATACATACACATTATACACATACATATATACACATACATGTATATAAACATATATACACATACATGTATATATAGAAACATATATACACATACATATATACGTGTGTATATATATTATACATACACATGCATATATACATGTATGTACAGATCATATAGCTTTCATTTTAACATTTTAGCTATGTGTCAGCTACAATAATATGAGCATGTTATATACATACATGTATATATGTGTATGTTTTATATACATGTGTATATGTGTGTGCATGTATATATACACATATATACATATGTATATAAACACATCACTTTACAAGTGATTTTTAATAAATGAAAAATGTGCTTATATATGTTATATATATATACACATATATATAAACACAGCACTTTACAAGTGGTATTTAAAGATTTTTAATAAATGAAAAATGTGTTTATAGGTAACTCAGCTCATGTTCTAACATATTCTATTTGTTTCTTCTATTTAAGACGACCCCTATCCACTCCTTTCTTTTTTTTTCTTCACCTATCTAAAGCCTTCATGTCCTTCAAAGTTCAACTCTACTACCTCTCTCTGTAGAAAGCTTCCTCTCTGTAAAGGAATACATATAGTTTGCTAAATATACTCCTCCTTTGGTGCTAGTATATACCCTAGGTACATTCTATAATAACCAGGCTTACTCGGTTATTTTCCACCAAAGGAGAAGCAACCTTAATGAGGCCAATAGACCTTGAGTGTTCATCTGTGTACTCTCAATAGCTACAACATATTTATTCAGATTTAATGTTTGTGTATCATGTATAAATTATTTCAGAAGAGGTCTGTCTAAATAAAAACTCATAAAAACAAACATAACCAGAAATTATTGTTAGTAAACTGCTGATGCAAACAGAAGCACACTGGCAAGAAAAATTAAGGTAGATACTCCATCTCCACAAATTCATGTTCCTTTTCCAAATAAATCTTGAGTCATGCATGTGGGTCAGGAAGTAGACTCCTATTAAGACTTAGGAAAGTGAAGATTGAACTTACGAAAGTGAAGACTGACCAGGTATTTTGGACCAAATTGCTATTATTTTATACCATATTACAAAACCTGGGCTTAATATAGCTAGCCTATTAGCTACAGCAGTAAAAAGCCAGCATGGTGATTGTGACACACCCTTGAAAAACTCATGTCCTCAATAACGAAACAAAAATAAATAATGATTTGATCACTGTAAATGTATTCCTTAAGGTCCTGCCACAATATCCTGCTCAATTTAAGATATTAGGTCTTATAGGACTCTTTCAGGTTTTTGTTGCTTATTTGTTTGCTTATTTGTTTTTTTGTGGGATGCTTTTTCTTGTTTGTTTTCATAAATAATTATATAACTCAGAGGAGCATACATTTCATAAGGACAAACCTGTAACATCAAAGGGTAAAAACATAAGCTGTTTGGAAAAAACATTTTGTAACAATTCTAGTTTTCCAATCTGTACATTATCTTATCCCCCAGCTAAATACAGTAAGTTTCCTTTAATTATACAATTTTTGTTACAGAAAAAATGGTAGTTAAATTGGAGCCTGATACTCTATCTCCAATCATAACTAAATGTGATACTGTTTCAGGAATACAGACTACAATCTTAGGTCCAGTAAGCCATCTCAAAATGAAATTTGTTGGTCATATGAAGAACTCAAAAGAATACAGAATATAATAGGAAAAATTACCAATCAATACAAAAATCATTAAAACCTCTTTAATGTGAAAGATTCACATTCACATAACAATTACATTTTTCAAACATACCTTGTCCATTAATTTACTTGCATGAAGACTCAAGTTATTGAAGAATATTTTTTTGCTTAGCAAATGCATTTCTTCAATGGTGGTCAATAATGTAGTTGCACTATTTCCAACAATGCCACTAAAAGCAAAGAATATTTCAGGTTGCAAAACAGAAACTGAAACAAAACAGTTCTTAACTGAGTGCAATGCTTTACAAAGATCTAGATTTACATAAAAGTTTTTAATGTAAAATACAACCTGTGAATTAAAAATGCTCTAGTTTCATATTTTAAAAATCAGGACTTTTGTTTTTCTTTTGAGTTAGGTGATGAAAAAGTAAAAACAAACTAGTATGTTTTCAATATTTCACAATCGCTTTTAGCAATACTGTCAGAACAGACATTTGTAATATATAAAATCCTATCTCTACTTTTCCTTTATTAAATATGTCTTGATTATCTAAAACAGTCAATTTTAATTTTAAAAAGAGCATTAAATCAACAGCTCTATTGATAAAATATATAAATTGTATAAATACTGTGTTATTCTTTTAATTAAAACTGCTATTCTATAAAAATAACACATCTATAAATTGGAAATTCTCAATTTTTATACAACAGCCCACAGAGCAGTATATTTACACTAACTGAAAAGTCTGATGAGTTTGAAAAGTCTGATAACATTTTGAAATAACTAATTACATTAGTACATTCCATAATTCTCAATTTGCTATTTTATAAGGGTATTTCTTAGACCCATTCAAAGAGGTTTTCCATTTTTGCCAAGATCTAAGACAAGTATGTATATAAAATAATTCCCATTTTTTTTCTCATAATTTACGTACTAAAAGTAATTTATAACCTTCTAGGGGAAAAGTTTCTTGTAGATATGAAAATATGCTATATTCCAGTAGGGAATCATAATTTCTAAAGGCATAACAACATCTTCCATGCCTAAAAAAATTTAGATTGCTAAAGATGAATATAATGACATTAAATACTAGTAAACAGTAAACTAAAACACAGCAAATTTACTGATAAATGACATACCACATATGATATATTATAAAGGCAAATACCGTAAAATGTAGTATTTCAGTACAATTCTGAAACTGAAATAAATTAAATTCTTACATAGTTCATGAAAACAGAGCAAATTATTAGTAAAATACGTATATAAGGCAAACAGCAAAATACTAGCAAATTAAACTAGCCATAATACTTATATTTTAAAGATACAACAAGTATTACAGTTAAAAATATTATAAGCCAAATACTAAAATAAATTGGATGGAATTCTCACACATGCCTACACATGCAATAAAAACAAGTATTCCTCTGAATAAAAGTGTACATCAAACAACAGGGGAAGCAAATTAAATGAACATAAATAGAAACAATTTAATTAAAAATCTGGAGAGAGATCAACATACATTTACATTCATTATGTTTTAAATTTGGAGTTATCAGCTGTACTTTGCAGTTATTCAGATCTAGAATTTACTAATGTTTATTGAGCACACACTATGTTCCAGTAACTGGTCCCAATAATTGTAGATGTATCTTCTGACATTTCATTCCATACTTCTACCCAACATGCTTATACTCCTATTACTCGATTTTTCAGTTTTAGGTATTATCTACAAATTCCCAGATGTAGATGATGAGAATTAAACTCTCTTACACAATTCTCCCCCTCCACCACAACACACCCAAACTTCACCTTCCCCAGGCTTCCTAATACAGCCATGGGCACAGAGTTCTAGTAAATAACTGTTCTACACCCATGTAAATAGTATTCAGAGCTGACCAAAGAATCAGGGATACCTAAACAAGCCAGTGAACAGGCTAGTGAAGAAGATAAATGCCAGTGTGATAGCCAAGCAGCTTGCAGTAGGCCTGTAGGTCAACACATCTAGATTGGAGGGGAATGAGGCTTCCAAGAAGGGTATCAGACAAAGGCCGGAGAGAGGGGGATTACTTGTTGGACTATATGGTGAGACAATGCAATGTCAAGTCCACTTTAATAGCTTGGATCTGAAATAGTGATGAGGGCATAGGAAAGTAAACAAGTATAAAAGCAAAGTAATTATTAATTCCAGGGAGAAAAGTTTTATAAGAAAGGATATGTAATCCAAGTGTGTGCGATTCTGTTTCCTGGATTCTACATCTTCCTTTTGTTAGGAGTACATTTTTTGAGATCTTGCATGCTTCTTGCTTTTTCCCCCAACTTCACTGGATCCCTTCCCAGTTTTCTTTGTGGTTTTTCCTCTTCTTCACCTCTAAATATTGGAGCTTCCCAGGACTCAGTCCTTAGCCCCATTCTTTATCTATACTCATTTCTTAAGTGATCTATTTTCTGAAAACTAAGAAACTTATAGCTTCAGCCCTGATTTCTCTATTATTTGCTCACTCAAAATCTCCTACTGTATGTTCACAGATATATCAAATCTGACAAGGCCAAAACTGAAGGGAACTCTTCCTTATCCACCACTCCCATCAACCTGTTCTTTTCCAGCATTCCCCATCTCAGCAAACAATACCATTCACCCAGCCGTTCAAACCAAAAGCCAAGAATTCATCCTTGACTCCTCACACCTCACTCTATCTAGTATGTATATATGTCCTATTGGCTGTGGCATAAATTATCTCCAAAATCAACTACTGTTTACCATTTCTAAGACTATCACCCTAGTCTAACTCATCATCATCTCTGCTCAGGACTACAAACTGCTCCCTAAATATGTTCCTTATTTTCCCTTTTGTCTCACTACAGTACCTAATTCACAGGGTATCCAGAGTAACCTTATAACACAAATCTGTTCAGGTCACTCAAAACCCTCACATCTTCCCCAATCTTATCCATTCAGCATAAAATCTAAATATCCACTATGGTCTTCAGAATTCTATGTGAGCTGGCCTCTCTCTGCCTTTCTGATTTCATCTCCCCCTGCTCCTTCCAATTCACTGCACTGCAACTCCTGGTCTTTCTAGTCCTCCAAAATGCAAGCTTTTCCTTAGCTTCAGTACCAGAGTGTATTTTTGTTCAGGACACTCTTTTCCAAGATCTTTTCATGCCCAACTCCTTCATATTATTCACATCTGAATTCAAATATTGCCTCTACCAAATAGCCTCAAAAACAGTCACACATACACACATATATCTACTCACATGTGGTTACTCCTATACTTCCTATTTATTTTCTTTTGCTTTATCTTTAGTACCCTTATCACTACCTAAAACTATTATTTTATATTTGCTTGTCTCCCCTACTGGAATGTAAGTTTAAACTGCTTTGTTAATTGCTGTTTCCTTACTACATAGAAGAATGATGAGTATACAGTCAGCTTTTTAATTGACTAAATGAGGAAATGTGTGAAGTAGAAAAAGCACACGCAAAAAATCAATAGATTTTAATTGTCATCTTTAATATCCTCGTCTTCAAAGATAGAAAACTTATAATTCTCAGAGCCTAAAAAACCTACTATCATCTTCAGAATCAGAATTATTTTATTTCTAGCATTTTCTACATTAGAAACTAAGATATCAATATATTTAAATAATAAAATTCATGTAGTACCATCTTGGACATTATTAAATAAACATTTTAAAAATCATTTTACCAGCATCTTTTTATAACACAGTATTTGCTATGTCTAGCTGCTGTCAGTAGCCCTTGTGTTTTCTATCATTCTCTTATTATAAGATACCATAATATTACAATTGAAACTAACTCACTGCTTTTGAATTACGGGAAATGATGACAATAAGTTTGTATCTAAAATGTTAAGAGACTAATCCAAATCCTATCTCTGATTAGTTTTGTAGGCTATGGCTTGTTAGTTTTGTTTGAAAATCTACTATTAAGATGTAAAATCCATTTCTTACCTGTGAAGTTCTGGGTGGCTACTCTGTGTCACTAAGGAGTAAGTGCTCCCTGAACCTTTCCTGGTAACGTTAGTTATAGTCTTCTTAAACAGTTGGCCTACTGTTCCTGATACTGACATACTGGATAACAAGTAATTTTGAAGTAATTGTTTAATGGAAAAATATAAAAACTATAAAAATATGGCTTGGAAAGACATTGTTTTAACGTAGATACACATATGACATAGTCTCAAGTGACAGTTGTAATAAAATTCAAGGGTATACCACCAACGTCAAATGTCAAGCAAAAATGAATGCAAATTTTGGAGTCAAAGATCACATTTTATATAAGACAAGTGGTTCCTAATTAAAGTTGCTGTTATGTAGAGAGGCTAAAGTTCTATTTTATCACTTACAGTAAACTAAATGCTAAAGAGTGTAGGTTATTTACATCCAGAACAGAACATTTCATTCATTATGCTCTATTGTGAGTATATGATACAGTTACTTTAGTAGCCTTGGAGTCTTTTACTAATGCGGGAAGACTCAATAAAGACTTACATTATAGACTTACATTGTTATATAAGTTGTGTGTGTGTGTGGGGGGGCGGTCAAGCTTGGAGAGAAAAGGAAAAAGGAAATAACAGACCTCAAGTCATAGCATGGATAATATACATATAATGATTTACATGGCATGGTGGTTCTACTAGTTACGCTTAGTCTATACTTACTGTATACTTACCATACACAATGTAAAACAAACTTATACTCCACTCTAACTGAAAAAAATATCACATGGGATTTAGCAATCACATTTTGCCATTCCACTTACCTGATTGTATGGTGATAAAATTTGAGGAGATTAGAAATTTTATATAATAAAACTGCCCCAGGTTCAGCAACTATTACTTGCTCAATTCGAACCTATTAAAATATGTGAGAAGAAATTAAACATTTCTTAAAAGTATAATCTTTCTTCATTAATAACATATGGTATAAATAACATAACAAAGATAAAATTTTATTATTGCAGAGATCACAAAATGCCTTCTAAATAATTTCTGAGTAATAAGTCATAGAAGATGGTAAAGTAACAAACATTTTAACATAGATATGCTCTACAAAAAAAACTGATCCATTATTTGCAGAATTTGGCTCAAGGCAGTCGTTACCAGAAATATCAACATAGTGAGATCATTTTGAGATTTATCACCAGTATATAATGGAATCTGGTTCAATACTGAATTGCAAAGGCAGCCACTACATCCCTAAAACAGATTATCAATGAAAACATACTACTTTATTGCCAAATAGTCAATTAAAAAATAAAATAAATTCCTGTCTATAAGTTATTATATCAAGTTTGTCTATTAATAAAAAAATAGAAAAGTAGACCAATCTTGAATTAGCACCGACATATTTGCCAAATTATAATACTACCAGGGCAAAATCAGATCTGGTTCAAGATTAACTTGATCTGCCTCAAGATTTAGCAAATGTGAATCTTTTCTAATTAAATTCCATCCCTCACTGATCTTATATTCTCTCATTAATGAATACAATCTAAACTACACGAATAAATGCTTACTTAAATATTGTATCTGCCCTTAAGCTACTGCTTACATCGTATCTTCTTGCTTTCCTAGTTTCTGAATACGAACACAGTATAGACATTATGTCTTCTGCCGATTTTACATCTCTGTAGCATCTAATAGAGCCGTATACACACAACAGATGTTTAATAAATGCTTTTAAAAGTTGAACTTTGTATGGTGGCTCACAACTGTAATCCTAGAATTTTGGGAAGCTGAGGCGGTGCAGGTTACGAGGTCAGGAGTTGGAGACCAGCCTAGCCAATATGGTGAAACCCTGTCTCTACTGAAAATACAAAAAATTAGCTATGCATGGTGGCACGTGCATTATCTCAGCTACTCTGGAGGCTGAGGCAGGACAATCACTTGAACACAGGAGGCAGAGGTTGTGGTGAGCAGAGATCATGCCATTGCACTCTAGCCTGGGCGACAGAGGTGACAGAGCAAGACTCTGTCTCAAAAAAAAAAAAAGTTGTGCTTTCTCTGTATTTAGATTTTGGCATATTTCATAAAACAAATGTGATTTGCTAAAATGAGATTTTATATGTGCACACAAAAACCTCTTATATTACAGAAATCAATTTACATTACTATGTTTATGAAACTGTTTCATCTGTTGGTATAGGTGCTGACTACCACAATACCATGGATCATGAGTGGCATTTGAACTTTAAAAATGTATTTTTCCATATTATAATTTATTTTGAAATCAAGGCCTTAACAGTGACTTAAATTATATATCAATAAAAGTGGTATTTTCTTAATTTTAATATAATTATCACAGCAAAATACAAAAAATGTTAATTGTAGGCAAACAGCTCTTACTAGCAGATTTTAAACACCATCTCAGGTGTCTGGCCACCTGCCTTCCATAATTTTGAGGCATCCAGAAAATATTCTTAGCTCTAACTCCCTTAAGAAAGAAAATGAGAAAAGAGGGGAGAGAAAGAAAGAAAGGAAAAGCAAAGAGGGAAGGGAAGGAGGAAGGAAGAAAAACCAAAAACAATTACCATCTCTCTCCATGAACACAAAGGTTTTGAGGGAAAGAGGCAATACAGAATACAACAGCTACAATACAAAATACAACAGAGAAAGGCTAGAAAATCAGGAGATTGACAAACAATACACCAAGAATGCTTTGTTTGCCATACAGAAAGAAACACTCTGTCTTATGAGGGCTATAAAAGAGGCTGACCATTTTCAGCAAAAGCCAACAGTCACAGGAGAAACAACAAAGACAAGAGAAACAAAAAGTAAAAAGTAAAAAAGGTCAAACAGACTAAAGAAGTGGTGGTAGCAGCAACTGGCTGGCAATTATCACTGTGATGACAGTATAGGGCAAAAATCATTAGCAGAGCTGGAGAGCAGCAATGAGAATAATGGCTCAGATATAAAGTGCGTTGGAACAGACCCTGGTACATCATAAGCACTCCATAAATCCTAGCTACATTGTGAGATGCGGCATCAATGACAAATGGAGATATTAAAAGTGGCAAAATGGGCTTTAGGCACCTGACAGCAGAGAAGGTAGGGAAGAGCTAAAAGACAGAACAGTGGCTCTCCTCTCCAAGGCAAGAGAGCTAGGAGCAAAAGTGAGAAAGAGAGAGAAAGAGAGAGAGAGAGAGAGAGAGTTGTGTTCATGAAGGAGATACAGGAAGAAGGGAGGACTGAAAAAGGTGATGATGAACCTCCTTTGCCTTAATATCACAGATAGCTGCTCAGGGTAGACATCTGATGCTATGTATACCTCAATCTGAGGGCCCAGCGACTGTCTTGTGTACAATGTTCAGCTTTATTTTCCCTGCCATTAATCTTCTACATATATCTGCTTTCATAGAACCCACCGTAATCTAAGGTCTGTAGCATTCACTACACTGAAGTTTTTATTAGAAGAGAAAATTCAGATGAGAGCTGGTAATCTCTCAGCAATCTAATTTTACATAAAAGAAGGACTTTATACCCATAGACTTGAAAAATTTTTTTTAATATTTTAGTTCTGATCTTTTCTAGTTACAATTTTGGAGTAAAGACATGTACAAAGTAATAGGCTTGATGCTGATGAGCCATGGTACCCGCTACACAACATATGTAAACTTAAACTTAGAGCACCAATTCTTTAAACTGGCAATAAGTTTACAGATCTTATCTTAATGCATACATTTACAAGTATTTAATCTACTACCTATGATGTTTCACTTTCCTAAGACAAAGAAAAGATTAAACAGGGTAGAATAAATCAAATATACAGTTTCTTAAGGATTATTTCCCATTACCACTATAACCTTTTCTTTATGGTTCGAAAAATAAAAATCTCCCATTCTAAAAAAAATTCATTTCTACAAAGAATGATGATGAACAGAAAAGTAGTCATAACATCCAATATCACATATCATTTGAAAAAGTTTAGTTGCTATTAATTAGGAAGAAGAAATTTCGTACGAGTGGGCATAAAAGCAGATTGATCACTATAAAAATTAGAATTATAACTGCAAAATAAAATGTTAAAGTAGAAATTTTTCTCAATACCTATATCACTGAAAATATACCCAGATGAGGTCATACAGAAAGAAAATTCTTAAAATAGTATAACACTCTCTGTCAGTATATAAGGAAGGGAGGGTCTAAGAGTTGCTGGATTATATATCACTATCAAGCTAATTTGATATGTAACTATTGTGAACACGTGCTAAATATTCTCTGAAGTATGCAATACATATTATCATCATATGGAAAGATTTGAAGTTTCTGTCATTTCAGAAAAGGAATTTTTCTTCATTTTACAACAAAAAAATACTTGTCTGCTTACTAGGGTCTTCTTTACCTTTGGCATCTTATAATAAATTTGTCAGCAGATCACAATAATGTCTTACAATTGTCATTAACATCTTTCTGGGCATTTACATTGAAGGAAGATGAAACAAGGATTTCTAAGTGCATTTTGAAACAAAGGCAGACTTCAGTATATAATGTCTTTATATAAGTGGTTGGGATTAAACATTTTTAATGTAATAACAATTCTTATTCAAACCAGGACAGGAAACTGAAAAGTCCGTTATAAGGATTCTAAAATTATGATATTTATAAAATTACTTTTTAAAAAGAAAATGAAAAGCATATACCTACTATGTACTCACAAAAATTATAAATTTAAAAAAATTGTTTTAAAAAGAAAGAAAAGCTGTAAAAAGAAAAATAGTTACATAAGCGAGGAAGGGGGAAAGGTAAAGCAGATAAAGTACAATTTATTTACAAAGTGACTAGGAGTTTTATTTAACTATATGAAGTTATAAAAAGGTATAAAAGCACAGCAAAATAAATCTCATTTTATTCCTCCTTCTCTTCTATTTTTCTAGTAACTGCCAGTATACAAAATAAGCAACATTTATGTAAGTTATATATGACTATATCAAACTATGACAAGTAAATATTTCATTTGGGAGAAATAAGTGAGATAATTTCAAAATACATTGCCATTTATTTACTGAATATATAGTTAGGTCCTATAAGATCAAGTTAGAGCAACAGTTAAATTTGTCAATATAATCAATTGTCACAAAGCGTGTCATCTGAGATTTCCTTCCCTGGAACACATAACCCCAAAAAGCCTTAGAAATAAAATAAAATTTACTTTAAAGTTCAGTTCTTGATAAAAATTATTAAACTTCAGGATTTCAATGTATCTGTATGAAACTGAAGTCAATCAACAAGGAAAAGTAAACCAACAATTGCCAAGTAGTCTATAAATATTAATACCTGTACAGGAAAATAAAGGTATTTACCATCTGCTAAATTCTTGGTAAGTGTCATAAACTATGTACTTCATCTACCCAGTTATCTTCAGAACAACCCTGGATGATGGCTGTTTTAATAGACAGGCTCCATGGGAGCATAATTCAGACGCAGAGGAGTTAAGCAAATGGAATAAGGAAACACAATTAAGTGGCAACATGGGAAGTCTAACTCAAATCTGATTCTAAATTCTGTTCCTTGTACTATAAATAGTATTGATGATAATCGCCATACATATTTTATCCTTGAATTAATAGTTATTCATTGCTATAAGCAAAAAATCTACTATGCTTGAAGCAATCAAGTAAATAAAATATTCTTAGTAAGCTTCTGTTAAGAATTCATAGATTCACTGTTTAAATTTAATAGATTTTTTCTCAACTGAGTAAGAAAAATTACAAGAAACATAATCTGTAAAAAATACGTCAATATATGAAAACTATGACTATTTCCAATTTTCTTTCTCAGAGAGAAAACTGGCAATTATTTTAAAATGTTTCCTATTAGCCTACATTACTGTGTTAATTTGAAAAAAGTATAGATTGAGTTTGAGCTGGTATCAGTTTCTTAAGTTCCCATAAATAAAGTAATAATTTAACCAGGTACCATATAGCATATGTAAAAACAAAATGTTTTACCTTTAGAGGCCTGCACACACCTTCAGTGATATGCCCAACAACTTCTTGAATATTTTCTTCAACACCTAAAATTAATACATTAATGAATATTTGTTTCCATATTATACCTTGCTTCATGTAAGTTCAAAAAGCTAACAAATAATATATAATACATAAAATTAATAGTACTAATAACTTTTAAAATAACCATAACTATATTTTAGTAAGTTTGATATCCTTTGGGCCATTACAAATTGTGTTAACATATTACTAATTGTGATAATACCTAATGTGTTTCTAGAAAGCCTTGTTAATTCATTTGACTTTGAGTTACTAAAATGAATATTATTTCTTTGTGGAAAAGATTAAATTTATGAGAGAGAGGGAGAAAAAAAAAGAGTGTGAAATGTATTAATTGAATGAAGTGATGCCAAAATGTACTAGCATTTGTTTTACAGACATCTCATTCCAATCAATGCTGCTTAGCACATACACTGAGGGTTTAAAGATGAAAAACACACCCTGAAATCTAACAGAAAAACTGGTATTTTCTAAACACCAACTATTTATCAAGCTCTGTACTGGGTATTTGACACTTATTGCTTGTAACCATCTAACTACAATCTATTTTTTTCCCACCTCTTAATACTGTCTTATATATACTTTTCTAAAACATCTTTAAAGAAACACATTCATTTAAACTAGGTAGTGAGAATAATAATAGAAAGAGAGCCTAACAATGCACACTTTGTGCCAATCTAACATATATGCTGAGTCTAATCTTGATACTGAAGAGTTAGAAGATATGAGGTTAGTATTACCACCAATTTGTAACACTGGCTCCTTTTGTGTAATGCAGACCACAGAGATGTGTGGCTGAGCTGTGTAAAACAGTCAAGTGATACCAGGCCACAGTGTCTCTCTTAACTTCCTATCAAAAATAAAACATATTTTAATCATACACTAAACTCTCAAACTCTAAAACAGGCCTCTTTAGGTAATCACAACTAAGAAGATTTGGAATTCTGCAAACAAGACATCAGCAACTCTCAACTACAGTTATTTGTCTTCCTTGACATCAAGACAAAAATTTTAAGTACATTTAGTACATACGGTGATGTAGTTTGGATGTTTGTCTCCTCTAAATTTCGCGTTGAAATATAATTCCCAATGTTGGAGGTGGGGCCCGGTGGGAGATGTTTGGGTCATGGGAGTGGATCTCTTATGAATGGCTTGGTGCTGTCCACATGATAGTCAGTGTTGCCTAAACGTGTGTGGCACATCCCCATCTCTCTGTCTTGCTCCCTCAATCATAATGTGACATGCTAGTTCTTCCCCTTTTGACTTCCACCGTGACTCTATGCTTCCTGAAGCCTCCACCAGAAGCAGATGTTGGCACTATGCTTCTTATACTGCCTGCAGAACCCTGAGTCAAATTAAGCCTCTTTATAGATTACCAAGCTTCAGGTATTCCTTTACAGCAATGCAAAAACATACTAACAGATATAATAACTGTTGAAAATTTTAAAACAATGCCATGAGAATGAAAAAAGAGGCTGGGTAGCAGAAATGAAAGAATCAGTAGCTAATGACCCTAAACAACTCACTCAGCCTGTTTACTCACAGATAAAATTAAGATAATATCACCTTGTACGTTTAAAGTGTCATGCAGAAGATTTGAGATAATGTATGCTAGATATTCCAGAAATTTCATAAAAGTGCCACAGAGGAGTCTAGGCTGGACATGAAAGGTCATTAGGGTTTACTATAAAACTGAACAGTTGAGTGAGAGGACAAAGGTGATGGAAGAGAAAGTCTATTAGCAGAATGAGGGAGAATCTAGAAAAGAGAAGAGTTATCAGGATGCTTATTGTACCATCGAGGTGTTTATCTAAGTGAAGAAGATGGCAACAAGAACAGGAACAGAGATGTTTGTGTTATTTTCTGTATTTAGGCATTAGCAATACAGTCGGTGGACCCACCTTGTGTAGTGACATGCTTTAAGAGAGCTTCAAGGTGTTCCTTTTCAGAAGCAGTAGCTTGATGGAGCCAAGCCAACATATCTCCCACATACCTAATGAAAACTAAATATTAATAAAGATTCCTTTGGTAAAAACATCAAATCTTCTGCTGTTTGATTACTATACCTCAAAGGGTCATGAGAGTGCATTTCAATTGGCCTAGGTGTACCTCCGGGGCCCCCTCTTGTGAGCGCATCAATAAATCCACGAACAACTGTACTTCTCCTGGCTGTTCCAAATTCATCTAAGGTATATCTAGAAGAAACAAGTTATACAAAAAATGGTTGGGGTTCTTTGTTTCTGGTGGCTATATCAGACTATTCATGCAATTTCGAGACAAGCAAATACCTAAAGCTACTTTAGGCACTCTGTCAAGCAACATTGCTTTCAAAGAAGAAAAAACATTTAAAAGATAACTTCAGCACATTGAAAATTCAATCAAAAAGTAAAATCTTTTACTCCTCCTAAAAACAATGCTGGGATTTGGGACTAAAGCAGGGGCAGCAGTAATAAGTGATAAGGCAATGGACTTAGTAAAATTAGGAAAATCAAGCCAACATGGGAAAACTTAACTTTTTAGGTTTCAATATATTCAGTATATTAGGTTTCAGCATATTTTAGTACGTATATATATTTGCAGTCTAAAAATATGATGCTGTACTGTTTTACATAAAGTCATAAAAGTTCTCAAAAACTGATTATAATTAGAACTCTGCAATCCAAGGCTGGGTACAGTGGTTCACACCTGTAATCCCTGCACTTTGGGAGGCTGAGGCAGGTGGTCACTTGAGCTCAGGAGTTTGAAACCAGCCTGGGCAAAATAATGAGACTCTCATTATTAAAAAAAAAAAAAAAAAAAAAAAAAAAATAATAAATAAAAAAAAAAAAAAAAAAAAAAAAAATTAGCCAGGCGTGGTAGCACATGCCTATAGTCCTAGCTACTCAGGAGGCTGAGAAAGGAGGATCACTTGAGCCTGTGAGGTTCAGGCTGCAGTCAGCAGTGACTGCTCCACTGTACTCCAGCCTGAGCCACAGAGAAAGACACTGTCTCAGAAAAAATAAAAGAACTTTTGCAATCCAAAAATTAAGATTTTTTTCTTACATTAAAAAAGTCTTCTTTACATATACTATCACAATTTATCACCAAAATTTGCTCCAAAATTGCTATCCATTTTTAAAAGCTTCTTTTGACTCCAATATTAGACATCATAGATATTCCTTAAATTTACTGACCAATCACACACACAAGCAAATACCTTTTTAAAAAACATGTATTAAGAAGTCACCTATTATAATTGAAAAGGTGTGGAAAGGCTTTCTAAGGTGAAGGAACTAGTAGGGAAGGAAAGTTTTTAACTTGGGAATAGGACAATTTGGGATTCAATTTATAAAAATAGCCTGGAGCTGTCTAGAGTGCCCATTTCTTTGACTCTACTAAGACTTATTTCCCATTATCACCCATTCCTGACAATATCCCTCAACTGAAAATTCTTTCAATTTTAAAATTATAAAGACAAACAAAATACATTTTAGCAGTCTGATGTCAGCAGATTCTAGACTCATTAACTTCTAAATCTTTAAAAATATTCTACCATACTAAATTTTAAGAATGATATAAATAATCTACATATAAACAAAAATCACCAAAACTTCCCAGGATACCCCAAATAATTAATATCTTAGGCTACACAGCTTTCTTTTATATGCTATTACTTGGATAAAAAAAATCCACATTTTGGTAAGCATGTAAAAGACGGACTATTTCCAAATCGAAGAGAAAGTCTAGAATGGCCAAATAGTTACAAATAGTTAGGAATATGAACCTTTTTCGAGGACTATTTACTACGAACTAGACTATGGTTCTTTGTGTGTTTGTTTTCAGTTAAAAAGAAATGGTTTTGAGATTCCCTGTGGTGACATACTAGTACAGAAAAGGGAAAGCCCAATATCCAGCTAAGTTTTGCTAAATTGCATAATTGCCTTGCATTTAATTTCTAGTTTTAAACAAATTAGAACCAAAATACTCATTGCTATGTTTTCCCTCATGTTTTCAAATTATAAATCATTTAGTATGAAGAATGCCTTCTTTTAAATGATCACCTGAGTCTCTGAAATAATGCACTTATGACTCCTTATCACAGCACAAAATTCACAAACATTTAACTTTTTAAATATGTTAAACTAATCCTCATTCCCAAGATCCTACTGACCATAGTAAAAATAAACAGCAAAGTTTGTTTCTAGCACTGTTCACTGGGACCACAGTTGTAACAAAATCCAGTGAATCTACTGGGATTTTAAATAGGGGGTAAATTACCAAGCCTGACAAACACTGGAATTTAATCTGTTTAATACTATAAAATATCAATAAACGTTAAAATTAATGTCAATCCTCCTATAGAACAAATGTAAAGCAAAAACAGCATAAGCCTCATGAAGCTTCAATATCTTTAGACATGAAACATTGTTTCCAGAGACAAAGACCAAAATCAGACATTTTTCCAACAATAATCAAAATTCAAAATGGAACTTTTCGAGAGTGAATGTTCGAATTATGTAAATATCTCAAATACCTCTAGTTAAAATTTGAAGTCTCATTTTAAAAATTGTGTTTAGCTACAGTTTTAAAAATTCTGGTCAAAAAGCAAATTAAAAGAAGACAAATTTTGATCAAAATGCAAATTGAAAGACAATAATATAGAAGTTCCTCTTTGAAATACAACAAATACATAAAGAAAGAAAAAAATCAGTACTGTACATATAACTACATTTTAAAATAACTTATATTCTGAAGGCTTATCAAAGGAAAGAAGAAATTATCCAATTTTTTCACTTCCATTTATAATTGTACTTGATTTATTATTAAAAGTCAATAATGCATTAGCATTCCAGTTATATAATACATAAGAAATAATGAGTATGGTAACTTTCCCCAGGGACTTCAATAATTGACATTTTTCTTGCATATAATAATTATTTGAGATACAATAATGGACAGCGAAGCTTTTATGCATTACTTATTAAGTTCATATAGTGCCATCTGGTGGTTAACATGATACATTATTAAGTTTTTCCTAAATATAAGGAAACTACCACTTGAAAAATAGATAATTACTTAATGAAAAGACAATTTTCTGTTTTTTAGTATTCATTTTGACCTAATCATCTGGCCTTAAAAACTTACTTCCTCCCTCAGCTTCTAAATGTCTTTAAAAATCTTCCAAATTGCCATTACTGCCCCCTGCTCCTTAGCATACGCCCTTCACAGATAAACTTTCTTTGCCTTTCTATTATAGTTTCATTCTTGATCTTTCAAGCTTTTCCCTGATTGCCATGTAGGCTTCAAAAACACCCCTCCTTAACTGACAGCTTTCTAGTCACCTCCTCTCAAAACAAAAATAATATGTAAAACTCAGGATGTACCAAGTATTACACCAAGTACCTTAAGTGAACAATCTAACAATCTTCACATCAACCCTGTAAAATAGGCACTATTATTATCCTTATTTTACAGCTAAGGAAACTGAAGCTTACAAAGGTGTAAGGACTTGTCAAGGAAATTTGACTCAAGAGCCCACATCATAAGCCATTTAATATTGTTCCTTTCCAAGTCGGCGCAGTGGCTCACGCCTGTAATCCCAGCACTTTGGGAGGCCGAGGCGGGTGGATCACGAGGTCAAGAGATCGAGACCATCCTGGTCAACATGGTGAAACCCCGTCTCTACTAAAAATACAAAAAAAATTAGCTGGGCATGGTGGCGCGTGCCTGTAATCCCAGCTACTCAGGAGGCTGAGGCAGGAGAATTGCCTGAACCCAGGAGGCGGAGGTTGCGGTGAGCCGAGATCGCGCCGTTGCACTCCAGCCTGGGTAACAAGAGCGAAACTCCGAATCAAAAAAAAAAAAAAAAAAAACTATAAAACTCAGTGAAAATGCATTTGCATGGCAGAAGTCAACTGCTGTTTTCAGGTGCCCAAAACACACAAAGGCTTTTTTTATTAAGATTAACCTTGTGAATAAATATTAATCTGTAGACAATGCAACACTTGTTAAAATCAAACACCAAAGTTTTAAGTGCTAAAAAACTCAAAATCAATGCCAATATGTTAAAGTGAAAAACTTGGGAAAGAAATTTCAAAGCAGGAATAAACTGCTAAGCTGCTGATCAATAATAAACATTATCTTACCATATGTATACACATAACATTCAGGGCTATTATGATCCAGCTGTTGCTTGTAATTCAATAGCCCAGAGCAAGCTTTTGCAATGAATTTCCCAGAGGTGCGTGTTCTCTCAATGTATACCTTAGCATCACTGTTCCTTCAACCTGGAAACTGTTCTTTTTCATCTAGGAAAATGCTTATTCAGCCTTCAGAACTCACTTTATACCTTATTCCTTAGGAAATTTTCACTGATGTTCATCTCTTTCCCCTATCCCGTAATGCTTGAGCCACACAGCATCTGGGACATGACTTCTAGACTAGCAATTAGTATATTCAATTAAAATGCATTTGTCTATCTCTGGTTCCATAAAATAAAGCAGTTTGAGGGCAGTGCTCTACTGAAGTTGTGTTTCTAGAACTTAGAATGGTGCTTAACACATTGTACTCAGTAGATAGCACTGGAGTGTTATTATTTTACACAGCTGTTCAGCATTTGTGTTCTGTAACCTTATGATAGGATAAGTAGTGTTCGAATCAGAAAGTAATGGAGATGTCCTCTAAAAATAGTATAAGGAGCAACTGAAAGGGATGATTCAGAACAAGATGCACTACCTTGGTAAGAGTCCCCTGGTTTCCTGTTTTCAGAATCATTAATATAATCAACAACTCCTACATCTACCAAAAGTTTATGCTCATACTACTCCAGGCATTAAATATTTACTTTTTATTTTATAAAAATCAAGAGAATACGATTAAAATATAAAGTAATAAAAACATCAGTAAATTTAAAATGCATTAAATTCTTATCCAAAGCATTACCACACAGCTCTTGGTTGGCATAAATTACCAGATCAAAGAGCTGGGTCCTGTCTTCCTAAATCCTATTAATAGAACCTTGATATTAAATATTCTTTTTTTCAGCTCTGCATAACCATATTTCTCAGTCCTGATATGACTTCAATCTCTGTAGGGAAGGATTAATACAGGAGTTTTAGTTACTTACAATTCCAAGGGAGTTAATGAGATGACAGGGGAAAAAACACTGAACCTCTATATAAATAAGAGGTAGTCTAAGATACTGTACAGAGACTTTGTTTTTTCTTTCCACTTTGTATTCTATAGTATGTAATATTCAAATAAGCTGATACCCCATGAAACAAATTCAAGTTAAGGTAAACAATATTGTTGCAAATTATTATAAATATTACTCAAACTATTATACATGCTTTTGATAATATTGAAATTTAAATAAGTTGTCAAAAGAAAAGTAGGCTTTCTTTTTTAATTAAGAAAAAGTCACCAACTTATATAAGACAGGTCTGTCCTGCAGGGCTTCCATTGCCTGTGTCAATACTGCAGATATGTCACATGATTCTTGTGTCAATGTTCTACATTCACCTGAAAAATAATTAACATTACAACTTTTGTTAAATTCAGGTTTGGTGTTTATTATGTCTGTTGTATTCCAGGAGTCTAAATTCTATAGCAAATACCCCATGAAAAAAATCCTCAGAAAAACCTAGAGAATACACCAATCTAAAACAAATTTATGCTGTCAGCCAAGCTAAAGAGTCAAGCTTCAGTAGGTATGTAACTTTAAATGACCACATATGCTATCAGGTATGCCCCAAAGCTGTATTTTACTATAATAAACACTAGAGTCCTGAAAAAACCAATCAACGAACAAATATTTCCTAATAACTGCCATATACATGACAGTATTAGGGAGGCAGGGAGGAATACTAAAAACATATTATCAATTCCTTCCCTGGGACACAATCTTTAAGCAGCTTGCTAAAAATGTTAATGTGGTTAACTAATACATAGTAATAAAACTATAATTTCAAAATAGTTTGAATTTTAAACTCTTAAAAATCTCTACACCAACTTTTCTTTATTATTCTAATGTTTTCTATAAAATGCTCACCAGCCTATACATTCAAAGAATTTAGAGCTTATCAGAAATTCCCAATCTTTGGTACACAAGGACTTTATACTAGCAGTATACTTTCTAGCATGCACTGACTGAAAAAAACCCATATGCATACATAGAATTGAAGACATCTTAAAATGACTTCATAGTCTCCAGGAGACAGAAGCCCACAATAGGGAATCAGTATGTAAGATGTTGTGGGAGCACAAAGAAATCTGAGTCAATGTCCTTGCCTTTGAAAAAGTAGAAAACTAACTTGTGAGATAAGACATACATGAAAAAAATAGAATGAGATACTATAAGAGAAAGGCAGATAACACTCCGGGATGGAAGCAATCAATGTAAAGGAGAGAGGCAGAAGAACAAACAGGTATTAGAGATAAAGACTTAACCAACCAGACCGGAGAATTCCGTTTGCACAGTATAGTACAGGAGTAATAGGTTAACTAAATTCCAACCCCTTGCATTGGTTAGTAACACCTATTAAAATATGTGCTCCTGTTCCATGCTTGCCTGTTTTAAATATCTTCTCTTGTTTCAACCAGCTATTTTGCAAAACATCTATTGAAACATTTTCAAACAAAACTAAAGAAAATAAAGCATTCCTGATAGGCAAAATAAGGGCCCTCCAAAAAGGGCCACACCCTAATCCCTGGAATCTGTGAATATGTCACCTTACATGGTAACAGGGACTTCGTAGATGAAATTAAGGTAGTAGACCTTAAAATGGAGAGATTTTCTCAGATTACCCAAGTGGGTCCAAAGTAATCACACAGGCCTCACAATGGAAGAGGCTGGCAGAAAAGTTAGTCAGAGATATGAGATGGAAGAAGAGGCAAGAGAGATTCAAACGTGAGAAAATGACGTGACCTCACATTGCTGGCTTGGAAGATGGAGGAAGGGACTGCAAGCCAAAGAATGCAGGCAGCATCTAGAAACTAGGAAAAACCCTCAGTGACAGCCAGCAAAAAAACACAGACCTCAATCCTATGAACACAAGGAACTGAATTCTGCCAACTGAAGGAGCAAGAAAACAAATGATCTCTTAGAGCCTACAGAAACAAATGCAAGTCTGTCAATATTTAGATTTTAGCATAGTGAGAACAATGTCTGATTTCTGACCTACAGAGGTGTAAGACAACAAACATGTGTTGTTTTAAGCCATTCAGTTTGTAAAAATTTGCTACAGCAACAGCAGAAAATTGATTTACCACTTATAACTTTACAGTTACATAAACAACAAGAGATTCCTAATCTGCTTTAAGATAATCTAGGGCAGAAATATTGTCTTCATTTTTTTATTGTCATCCTTAATCAAGCATACCACTTGGCTGATAGCAGCTGCTCATGATACAAACACAAAAACGGTATGTGAAATGTAAAGTTTATCTATTTTAAAATATTTTCGATTACTAAAATCAAAATATATAAAAGACCAAGTAAAATTTTAAAAATCAAATACAAATATTATTTTTATTTAAAAAATACTTTTGATTACTAAAATCAAAATACATCAAATAAAGCCCAAGTACAATTTTAAAAATCAAATACAAATGTTTATGAATCTAGACAACATGAAATAAATCACTTACTTTGAGCCCATCGGTAAAGTCTTTCATAAGACGTTTCTTGAAGTAAGGCCATCTGTTCCATAATTTCTAAACTAAAAAAAATTAAATATTTATTTTAATTTAAATTTTAGTCAATAGCTACATCTAAGTACCTAATTATTTTCTTGGCATATTACATATTACAGCATATTAACTTTTTATCATTTTATGAAATGATTTTTCAATAATTTTCTACAATTAAATGTCACATTTTAACCATCACTTACTTATCAACTACTGTTTTAGCCTAAACCTGTCAGGGTATAATCTCACCATTCTCTAAAGATAAATAAAGATTAAACTCCTATTTCACAAAATGTTATACAGTTTCACAAACACTCTAGAATATCTTAAAAATTTTGGAAACGTAAGCAGCAATGCAATTAGTTCAATGAGCGGTTACTCACCCTGCCGTTTGTTGATTTGTACGCAAGAGAACTTTGACATCATTATGAATCTGTTTTACTCTTCCCAGTGCCTTGAAAAAATCCTTTAAAATTAAGAATGTGACTTTATGTCCATGCTTCAGGTAAAATTACATTATTTAAAAGTTAAAGGTCACTACCAAGGGCAAACAAACTATTGCACCTATTCTAATGAAGCCTTCCTATACTGATCTTAACTTTCTCTAAATTTTTATAGAACGTGTAACAGGTATTTATTCACATTTTAAGACACATTAATATATTAATCCCGTGCCTACTATGTGTCAAATAGTGTTGCCAGGAATACAAAATTTATAAAGATAAAAATAATTGCCTTCAAGAAGTGTATGTAGTTTAGTGAGAGAGAAATGCAAAACTAGAAATTATTACATTAAAAAAAAAACATACTAAGTATTACACATCTTATTACTTAAACCTGGCATTCTTATTGCTGAAGATGATGTTTTATATATCTGTTGTATACTCATTCTTGCTCCCTTATCCAAAAGTAGAATGCAAAGCTAAATATATAGGACGTGACAGAGGCCAAACTGTGGCTTGACATTTAAATGTACTGGAGGCTTAGGTTTCAGAGTGCCACAAATAGTGTTCCACCCATGAAAATAATGAATGTGTTATTTTTCTTTGATTAATAAAACTAATAATAACAACCTTCCTTTTCTAATTTCTATCAAGAGGAGGAAAAATGATATGTCAAATATTTTAATTGTGCAAAGTTCCTCAAAACACAAGGGCAGTAAATACTAATAAGTAATATCTCTATTAATTCTCTCACCTATTTACTTCTCTACACACAAATGAGTGGTTACGTTTTAGCCAAGCCAGTGAAAGTAATACCTACTAAGAGATGCTCAGTAAGAACCCTTCCCCACCTCAAGAACCCTACTTGCCCTCTGATCCCAGAATGAGGACAATAGGCTTAAGTTTACAGTTCTTCCCAGCTAGAAGACCAAAAGATTCCTTTCTGGAAAACTGAATGTCTTAAAGGAAAAA